GGGGAAATGGCAGCCGGCTCCCTGCATTCCGCTGTTGGGGACTGCGGGCCGGGAAGTGGGGGCCGAGAGACTGAGGCTCTACAGAGGGGATGCTCAAATCTCTTATGTTTAAAGGAAACAAACTCCAGCTAAATATCGACTATCAGCAGACTGCATCGCAGCAGGGGAGCTGGTGTGTGAGCCCAGAGAATGAAGCAGGCACCTGAGATGAAGGAGCCTTTGACAAGGCTAAAAACTGAACCCACTGTGAATGATCATCACAAGCTTTGTGCAAAGGGGATTTTATATTACAGAGCCACAGGCCATTTTGAAGCAAAGCAGAGTCCTGTCTTGTTTCCTGTGATATCAGCAAAGTACCTACACCTGAGTGTGGGCGGTTGCAGGGCTTCACTGGGGGGACCAGCCTGCATCCAGCCTGGCTACCATGCTGCTCTGCAGCTCTTCATGTTGAAGCCTTTTGAAGGTCTGAGGTCAGCATGAGACTCCAGTATCGCTGCGATGTGGACATGGATGTGGATATGGACATGGATATGTGAGTCTTGTGCTTTCTGTTGTTTTTTCACATGGGGATTCACCTCAGTGAGGTGACTATAAGCTCCCCTGGGAGCACTAATGCAGTGCACCACTTTGTTGTGTTGCAGTAATGGTTTCTTTCCAGTTGATTTAAATGTAGATATCTATTTCTTGCTTTTGGGAAAAGCATCCAATTAATACTGTTGTGTTCTTGGGCAGTATTATAATCTAGGTTTGTGTGGTTTTGCACTGTCTGCTGAGGCAGGAGTGCTCCCTCTGAGCACCTGTGTAGGGCCAGCCATTTTTCAAAGGGCCTTGAAACTTTGTTGAAAACTCTCAAGTAACTTGCAGGCAAGTCCTGTCTCTGTCTAGATCCCCCATGGTGTAAATGCATGGACTGTCATCGTTATTGCCACAGCCCTGCCGCTACAGCCATGTGCACTCTTGGTCTCAAAGTATTGCAAGTGCTGAGAGCCTGCACGTGGCATCAAGACATTTGTTTTCTCCATGTGATGTGCACATGGGAATCCTGTGACGTTCACGAGTGCGCCATGCTGGCTCCTAGAGGGCAGTAAATCTATGTGTGTCTGGCTGCTTCCCTTGATGGTACATGTGCAGTGGGTAATTGTAGCAAAACAGGCTGCCCAGGGAGCTAATGAGTACTGCCCCTACCAGCCCCATGGGTGGGGAAGTCTCTGTTGGCTGGTTTGGGGGAGGGGGCTGCAGCCCCCTGCCACAAGAGTCAGGTCTGAGGGACTGATAACTTACGTGTTCGACACATGCACGAGTGCAGACACTGGAGTTGGCTTCAAGGGGAAAACCACTAATTGCTGCTCCCTGCTGGAGCAATGTCACATGTTCATGAGCCCAGTGACTCTCACATGTGCCTGTGACTGCTGATCAGTAGATCAATATTTACTTCACACAGTCAAATTGTCTCCTTCACATTTGAGGGAATTAACGTCTTGGGACCAGCATTACACCAAGGTTGATGGCATTGGACTGTTACAGGTGACTCTGAATCCTCAGCAGTCTGAGGATTTGCATGTCACCAGGATCCCAGGGTCTGCTATCAGATGGGCAATGCATCAGTATGTCCTACAAGCAGGAGACGCTGCCAAGTTCTCTGCCCTCATACTTAACCTTAGCAGTGTCTGCTTTGTCCGTTGTGGGAACTGCACCTCAGCAAAGCCACAGCAAGCTGTGGGCTTGCAG